CGAAGTGAACAGTGCTCTAAAAAAAAACTCACTTACACACACACAATAAGCATATTCCATACGGAAGCATCACATTAGCTTATCAACATCCAATGCGAGCTCGGAGCCGGATTCGGGAAATAAAAAACACACACACACACACAAATCAATCAATCAATCAATCTATCTATCCGTATCAATTGATTAATTCATTAAGCAGTGTCAACACCGAATAGTGCTGCTACCTCACTAGGAATGGGAACTTGTTGTGAGAGCTTCAGGGAAAGGGGAAGTTGACTTGACAGTTTAGAAGAAGTTTACTTCGGCATGCGGGTAGTGGTCTCAATGGCTAGATTCATGCATGTTGTTGTGCTCGAGGCGTAGTCCTCGGCCACGATTCGATTGCGTCTATAGAGGTAGATAGTTTTCTTAACTACAGTCAGTGTCCGTGAAGCTCTCACAGCAGGCAGATGAGTGGCGAGAAGTTTTTTTTTTATTATTTTTATTTTTTTTTGCTCATGAAATGCTTAAGGCCACACTCTGTACCGGCGGTGAGACGTGCGAAAGTGACGAATTCTGCAAACACGAGCACGTTGCGAGGTCTGTCACAGTGTAGGCTCCCTGAAGCATGAGATTTCGAGGCTGGGACAAAGCAAGGGTGATGAGAATTGCTGCCAGGAAGCAGGGCTATGACGGAGATTGTTCCACTCCGCCCTACAGTCACTGCATCCAGATGTCGAGGGCCTTGCTGTCTCGAAATCACAATCGTCGTCATCATCGTTTCTAGAAAGAATCGTTCTGCACATCGCACGGGAGGGATTCACAAGCGTCCACAGCAACTGGGTTCTGAAGGAGGAGGAGGAGAAGAAGAAGAAATGGGGGCTCAGTGATCCGGTGCCTCCTCGTCTCGACGCCACAGCCACTCTCCACCTCCCTCTTTCGTGCTAATGAAGAAGGGCGGCGGCGGCGGCGGCGGCGGCGGCGGCCACATCATGGTATCCTCTCCAGGCGGCTGATCGCGGCTTCTGGCGGCTGCTACTACTTCGAAGCCGTGTAACTGGCACAGCGCGAAATGAGGCGGTGTAGAATGTGGTAGAGAACTTTTAAACGTTTCACATTCTCATGACAGACGATGGTGGCAATGAAAAAGTTAAAGTTGATGTTTTAATGAGTGTATGTATGTGTGAATATATATATATATATATATATATTTATAATGGTGTCTGGTTAAGAGAAATCCCTTGGGATAGGGAAAAGCTTTTCTCTTAACCACATTTCTCATAACCAAATACCGCACAGTTCTCCATGCCTTTGGAAGTTTATTATCAATAAAACATAGAAAATTGTAGTGCATCTTTGCTGACAGCCGCATTGTCCATCTCAAGCTAAAATGGGTACAATGAAGTAGGGTGGCATGCTGGACGATGGCTTAGCACATTGTGGATGTTTTACAGTTACACACACTTGTAGCCAAGAACATTGCAGATCAAACTAATGGTGTCAATATCCATAGTTGTGCCATGCAACTTGGAGTGAGTGGCATTTGCACAGAGGAGCAAAAAATTGCTATTAATGAGACACGTTATGCCTTGTGTTGGTGGAGGTGGTACTTACTTGTAATGGAGTATTGACTTTAACCACACTTTTCTCTCACTGGTTCATGAAAAATATGGGCAAGCACTAAAAAAAAATGAGACAGTGCTCTTATCTATTTTTTTCTTCTAAGTGGTTTTTTTTCCTAACCAAACACCATTGTATATATATACACATAAGGGAATGTTAAATAGATCCAAGTTTTTACTAAATTGACCCACCCATCCTAACCATCATGATTCATTTCTCTACCATTAGATCTGTAAGCAATGAAAATCAACCACATTCATCATGATTACCATATTCTTCATCAAGGATGGGTCAATTTAGTCAAAGCATGGGTCTATTTAACCTTCTCCAAAATATATCTATATATATATATATATATATATATAGATGATTTTAAAATACTATCATAAAATATGACTTGTTTTTAGTTTTTCTCTATATTTCTTATAACAAGTTTGAAATATAATAAAAGACACAAGATGAAGAAAACCTACTTTGTTAAGTCATATAAATGATTATAAGATTTGTGGTATTTTATCTTTGTAAATGGCAAAAACATTTATTAAATTCAACAAAATAATCATCTTCCAATGAAAGTTTGTAAAAAAAAATCAAGTACACATCAATGTAAAAAAGACCAGTTTAAAAGATCTCCTGGACTTTAAAAACACATGCAAAAAAATGCTCAAAAAAATGCTATACATTTAAAAAAAAAAAAGAAAGGTTGTATATATTTAATTAATTTTAAATTAATTTGTTTATAAATGACACTCTTTTCTTTTATAATTAATTAAATAAGGACAAGAACATAAAATAAAACAATATCCAACTAGTATAATTTTTGTGTTAAGATAAGATTCTAAGGTCTAAAAAATGAATGACTTGGAATAAAACTACGTAACTATTTTTGACACAGACGTGATAAGAAATACATATAGCAATGAAACTTACACTGTATTTTTATGCATAGAATGATAAATTATTGGCAAGGTCAAGTAGCCAGCAAATGTTAGATGGAACTTGGTTACATAACACAAAACAAAAGCATGATGAAATAAAAATAAATCAAAAAATAAACTCTAGTCAAAACATTGGTGTAAAATTACTACAAATAAACCATTTGCTTGGCCAAATTCAATGATTTTCAAAGCACTAGTCAACTTCCTATTTTTGAGTTGCATCTAATTCCGCGTAGTGCACAACATGGAAAGAGATATATTACCTGAGAAAAATCCTGTTTTCAACGTGATAAGAGCCGCTGTGAAATAAATTAAGAAACCAAATCATGCTGTGTGTGAGAGTGACTATGAATTGTCGAGGTTGGTGAGGATCATTTGCTCACGATGAGATCTAGATTGTAGACTGAGACGTGACACGATCAACCTGCAAACAGGCAACAATCGGCGACAAAACTCGCCGAGGTGAGAAGAATCGCCATCCCCATTGCCATCGCCATTGCAGTGCCTGCATTGACCCGACCTGCAGCAGCCAAAAGAAAATGCAGGTGTGGAATGGACCATTCAGCTGTGCGGCGTGCATATGTTGTGTTCTGCATCGATCAAGACATCGAACCACTTTTGCCAGCCACTCTTGAATGGATCCCCTTTTTCCCAAAGTCGCTTTTCTTCAATTTGGATCGTCTCATTGTCGCTGATTTGCTTGCGGTAGTTGTTAATTGTCGAGGACGTAAACTTGCAAACTGTGGGTCCCTCTTCCTCTGCAATGTTTCTGACAACTGATCGATCTAGATTTCTGGACAACCATCGACAATGCAAGCTTGCGGCAAGGCTTTTGTCCTGTCTCCTTGACATGTTTTTCAACCCTTCAACGTCCCAGAAGTTCGGCGTCATCGGTATGCGAAACATTCGTACCCACCAATTTGGTTTTTTATATATATTTTTTCTATTTTATTTAATTGATTTTATTAAGGGTTGCAACGTCAACCCTGCAATTCTCTATTGCCGTTTGTCCCATGAAGGTGCCGTCAAAAGTAGAAATTTCTCGAGCTCCTCAAGAAACCCATCCTTTTATCAGTGGATTGGTGTGTGCATGAGAGCTGCGATGTTCAACGTGTTACTCCCCATATCAGCTATGAGAAATGGAAGCAACTCACACCACACTTGTAAGCCTATCTTTGTAGTGACGAGTAAAACTTCAGCAAGACAACTGCTCAGAACAGGTGTCCTGAAGCCAGTAGAAATCAGGTTGTACATATCTCCTGTGAGAGGAGGCTTTGGAGCCTTGTCGATTCCACATAATCATTGCATGTATGAATTGAACGATCCAATTTTGAATTCTGAAAGTGGGACGTTAGAGTGTCCAGATACATGGCGAAAAAAAAGAAGCATTGTGACAAGACTGCAGTTCAAAATTCGTACCTCTGTACATGGGTTGTAGCAAGGATGTGGTACATCTGGTGGGTAAGTTTCCAATGATGAGCCACTTTGTACTTCAGTTGTAGCCGTTCACTGTGAGAGGTTTCATCCTCGTCAACGTGGATATTGTAGCTGACAATTAAGTGTCTTTTTTGTCACAGCAGGGATAAATTCTGTGCAAGGGTCTGTCAGGCATGTGATTCTAACCGCCAGCCTGGATAATGCTATTTAGAGATTCTTGGGAGGAAGCTGCCATTCATCGGCGTTTTAAGATCATTCCCGGGGATAATCAAGTTTGACGTAATTTTGCTTGATATCACGACCAGCTGGTGCTAGTGCACACATGTGAAGGTTCAATCAAATTCCAGATCTGCAGATTTGTAATAGAATTGAAAATCATTTTCAAGTACGAGCAGAAATTCGAAGAAAAACATTGGTGCATTGCACAGGACGGAAAAGTCCTCTCAAGCTGTCAGAAACAAACCAAGACATTGCTCCCTTGTCGTATTTAGAAATCGAGTGTAACCCCACAGTAATGAAAGATAAATGAATACGAACTACAGACATTGAGGTTTTGACGATCATAATTTGTTTTGTACACCATCATGACATGCTAGAAGATCAAATGTCTTTGAGGTGGATTGATCGGATCAAATTGGAGCATTAATTGAAGGCATATTCGGCAACGAATTCCCGGATCTAGGTGAAAGGCTTTATTCCCGAAGAATATATGCTGTAGGTAAAAGTGATACGAAAAGGGTGATACATCAGTTTAAAAAATATTTTTGCGAGAATTCCTACCTAAAAGTAAGCTGCTGTTAGCCAGAAAATATTAAGCCGGGAATTCGTGATATGTTCAAGCACATACTGAAGAGTCACCAATCAATGAATACCCGTAGAGACCCTCATAACCAGCGAACGGAGCCAAAGAGAACTTGAATGAGATCGATCATTGCAGATGTATCAAGTACAAATAATAACCCAACAACACCACCGCCTGGATCATAAAGTCAGCATTCACAAAAACTTGGAACAAAATACCAATTTTCAAAAGGCAAGAAACTGAGCTCTACCTGCATCATAACCATCGTTGTACAAGCAATGGTTCGCAACTCTGAAATTCCGAGGAAAATAAAAAACGAACCCAGCAAGAACCCAAGCAGGTACTGGTACATCACTCATACAGACATTTCGGCACCATTTACTCCAACCTATACAGCACAGCGAGTCGGATTCTCGGAAGCTCCATTCCCAACTCCCAAGCTAATGCAAAGCAGCCAATATTTAACTACTCTCATGAAATTTCGCGCTTGGAAGTGCAAACCCACAAGCTGATGGGTATCATAGCACTTGGTCAAATCAAACAGTTGACTATGGCCGTGTTCCTACCTTGCAAATACTCTTCATCTCTCAACAACACTCATGTCCAACTCCTCTTAATCACCACCTACCATAACGCATCCTCCTGAAAAAAAGAGAGGGGATGCCATCACCTCATCGCAACCATTCCTCCACCATTCCTACCTTCCTCACCCTCTCCGCTTCCCAACCTTAGCTCTTCTGCTCCAAGCTCTCGTAAAACAGAATGTACCCGTGGTCCGTGTTGTTCGAATACTCCTGCGTCGATCCAAAAAATGTCTGCACGATCGACTCGTCGATGATCTCCACGTTCTCGTCGTCGAAAAACAGCCAGTGGTTGTGGCTCTTCACCAGACTCACGTAGTGCCCGTGATTCGGTCCACTCCCCACGTGCACCACCACCGCAAACAACGAGTACTCTGCCTCCGACCCAGGTGCATCGTCCGTCGTGTTGCAAAGCTTCAACTCCAACGGAAACACCACCCGGTACGACAACTTCTTGTACCGCCCCAACTGCTCGATGTACTTGAATCGCTTCAGGTGCAGCGCTAGAATCCGCGGTGCCGACTTTATCTTCATCCTCTTTTGCGCTTCCTGCAAACTGACCCACCAACATCGTGTCACTGCTGCCATCGTATCCACACCAACTCAACCATCCCCTCCTCTCCCACCCTGCTCTCCTCTCATCCACACTTCCCTCACCCACTCACGCGTCTCCTCCCCACCTCACATCCATTCCACCATCCCACAGCTCCACCTCTCTTCTCACATTGCACTGCGCCTCTCAACAATCCCACTCCCCACCCCCCTCTCCCCGACCAACTACCACCACCGCCGTCCGCATTCCTGCCCAACCACACACACCCTGCTACCCACGTCTACGATCCTCAACCCCCCACACCATCCTCCTCCAAACGCACCATCTACTCACTACCGGCCCAACCACGTCTCAGCTACTTCTCGCAATCCTATCACGCCTCACCCCCAAACTACTGCCACCAAACCCACCTGCAACACTTGTCGCAAAAGAACTTGTCCTCCGCGTTCAGCGTTTCCGTAGAACTGAAATTCCGCAGGCAGCTCGTTATGGAGCTGTTCTGCTCGATGTCCAGGCTCAGATCCAAGAATGTCTCATCTCGCGCAGTGATGGTTTCGCATCGCAAGCATCTCGTCTCGTTTGTCAGTATCCCCTGCATCACACACCCACCCACACACCGCGCCTCCCGCCCGTCAGACAACCCGACCCACATACGTCCACACCCTCATCTTTTTTCACTTTGCACCCACATTCACACAACGTCCCCACCGTTGCCCACCACCGTCACATCACGTCAACCCTCGCACCTGGAATATCTTGTGTACCCATGTCACCACTGCTTCCTTGTGCGTTCCGTTCGCCAGGCCGCTCACTGACCCATTCCCCACCACCTTGCCCGGTGACGTCTCACACCCTGAATTCGACTTCGCTGCTTTCGCCTCTCTCTCCAGGATGTCAACCAGCTCATTCAGCAGAAAGTTCAGAAACTCATGGGCATCCTGCACCAACCAAATAACAGTCAACATCTGCTCGCCCTTCACAAACAACCTCCTACCAAACCCCAATTCCCGCGACGCGCGTAACAACACCTCCGCATCCCTGCACACGGGAGCTGTCCATCAACAGCTCTAGCTCAAACCCAAGCCTCCCTCGCACCTGATGCATGTAACTCCGGAACAGCTCATTCTGCTTCTTCACTCTTTGCACGAATCGCTTCGGGGCTATCACCCCAGTCTTCTTCTTCTGCGAGTTTATCTGCACCCATCCAGTTCCTCAACGCGCGTCAAACATTGTGCAACCCTTGCTTCCACACCCCGTTTCCGTCACATATCCCTATTGCGACTGCCACCCAACCCTTCGTACACGCGCCAAACCCCAACCGCACCATCACGTCCCCTCCCCCACACGCCCCACTGCCTCCGTGCCCACCACAACGCCTGCTTGACCGATGCACCAACGCACAAGAAACAATACCCCCTCACCTGTGAGAACAGCTCGGACAAGCACGTCAGCAGATTCTCCTCTGCTTCAGCGACGGGTTTGCTCTGACCGCAATGCTCCAACAATTGATCCCGGAATGGGACGCAGAAGTACAGAGCCTACAAAACACCCAACACACAACCCATCACTCAATCTCCTCGCACGCACTGCTGCGTTCACGTCCTTCTACTCGGCCCGCACATGTCCAACGCCCTCGCAAAACTGCCCAAACCCCACGTCTCGTCCCTCGATCCCTCGATCACAATATCAGGTGTGTCAATTCGTCCGGCCAACAGGGTAGACACAATCATGCCATCAATTCACCGCTTTCCCTCTTCAGCTGCAACTGACCATCCCAACCCAACTCTTCTAGATCCCTCGATGACCTAATCGGGGCACCATCGCATCCCAAGCCGCAACAAACTCGCGGAAACCCAAGCACCGGGCATCTCGAACAAGCTCCTTCACCACCGCGCCACAACACGGAACCAAAGAGTGCACCGTGACGACGCAGCCGGGGCAACACGATTGCATCAGAAACGAAAACCCAGCACGGCAGAAGCAACAGGGGGAACGAGACCAATACCTGCAGAACGCTATTGCAGTAGCAAGTGTTGCCGAAATTCTCGAGGCCAAAGTAGCGCTCTCCCTCGGGAAATTGATCGCCCAATGCCTTCTCCAGCTTGGAACCCGAGGCTCCCATGACCATAGGTCGTCCCCCGTCGGAGAGAGAGGGCAGCTTGGCCACAGTCCGAGTCTCACTCTCTCTGCCTTTCCTTTGCTTCCTCCTCCTCCTCCTCCTCCCCCTCCCCCCTCCCTTCCCCCGCTACTCCGATCTCACCACGATCTCACCGCGATGTCCATCACCGCCTCCGTCGCATGGCATGCATATTCAGCGTGTGTTGGGACTGCTTGAGCTGCGTGTCCCACAAGTCCTCCTCCTTCTCTGTGAGCAAAGGCTAATAAGAAGAAGAAGATATGGAGTCAGTCAGTCGAGGGAGGGGCGCAGACAAGCATGCGCCATCCATCCATTAGAAGCAAGCAAGTCAGGTTGTGAAGAAGAGGAAGGAGAAGAAGTAGAAGAAGAAGATGAAGAAGGGGTTGCTGTGAGGAAACTGGTGTGAGCGAGCGAGCGAGTGAGTCCGCCTTTGGCTTGGGAGGGCCCCATTGATGCGATCTTCGAATCTGGCGCCATCTTGGCTCCCTCCCGCCGTTCCCCCCGCTCCCACACGCGTCCCCTACCCCTCCGCTGAATATTCTCATTAGAGAATATTCGATTTCTTCGCCCCCTTGGAAGGATTGTTCGTCTCCTTCCTCCTGTTACCCTTAAACCTTCTCAGGAGTTTCACATTACTCAAACCACCTGTTCCTCATTTTTATAATTTTTTTTTTTTTTTCTTTATTTGTTTTGTTGTTGTTGTTGTTGTTGTGTGTGTGTGTGTGTCTGTCTGTCTGTCAGTCAGGATGCCATCGTTTGGGATGTAATATCACGTATTTCATGCTACTTTCAAAATCTGATTTACATCTTTGTAGCTTGGAATTTGGCGGCATAAAACTCTCAGTTTTTATTGCATTACATTAAATGCAAGCAAAAGGATATTCTTCAAGTCAAATACAACTAACATTCTAGTCACTGAACCAATAGTTGATAAATAGAATTTACTACAACGATCACTGTTTTTTCAGTCAGTAAGTCGAACAATCAATACCGATTACGAATTTGATTTAGAAGTTTGCCAGTGGACCACGCATCTCATTTACTGCTTCGTAGCTTGTGCACGAACACAAAATATAACGCATTTTCATTTCTTTTCACTGAATTGGATTATGATATTGTATAATCTGGAATTTATTAAGTTAAACATATCATGAAGTTTTTATCAACAAACATTCATGCTATGCCCTTAGGCCTATCATGCTTTGAAATACACAGGTTTTGTTATCCTTTTTTTGGGTCAAAACCTTAAAAATTCTAAATTGTATCCTCTTAAGACTCTAAGAAGTCTTCATCTCCCTCTTTAGTTAGATTAGTTTCATTTTAATCCACTTTTTCCTCTTACCTTATTTTCTTATTATTTTTTTCTTTAAAAAAATTACTACACAATTTGCAGTTGTGTGTTATAAAATTAAACATTGTTTTTAAAAATTATGACTATATATTGAACATGGTTGCTTGTTTATGATTATTGTAGAGTTGGTTGCTAGCATGAGCCTATAGACTATAATACAAATGTGTTGTGTAAATATGTCCCTCAAGAATTGTATTAAAATACCAATATATATACATTCTACTTAATTATAATTTGAAGAAAAGATGAAGCTTCTTATTCAAAGAGTTATGTATCCAAAGAATAGATTGATATCTAGTCATAAGGATGTAATGTCCAATACTCATTCTTGCCCTTGTGGTTGTTATGATATTCTTTCAATCTATGTGTTCAGCTATAAGAGAAGACATACTAGTACTAATATGATAAGGTGATTTTCTTATGACAATTTTGATTGACTATGGAAGATTTAAAAGGTGTATTCTTGATCATTGGTATCTCACTAGAGATATCAAATTACTAAGGGTGAAGGTATCTATATTCTTTTGCTTCAAGTTTAATTGTTGCAAGGTAAGGAGATGACTAGTTTTTAGGAATATTGCTATAGTTTTTTGGTAGATTTATGTGATTAATTCTACAAGATACTTAGTTTTTTATCTTCTTAGATGTGGATACTAATGTTGAAAACTTGAATGTTTCAATGTTGTTTCTTTTGCTTTGTTCTTTAGGCATTATTGGTCTTTATTTCAATTATCTTTAGTTGCTTATTGAATTTCAAAGAGTATTATGTTTTTCTTGTTACTGCTACAACTCTTAGACAAATTGATGTTTTTCTAACTATTAAAGCTCCAAGATCTTGCATGTTGGTCTTTTTACTCTTTAACTTTTTTTAAATAAAGATAATTAGATATTTGTTCATTGATTAGTTTTTAGCTTCAAAGATATTTATTCTATGAAGGAGCATTTGTTATTTCAACCTAGAAGATACTATAGAATTTAGCGTGGATATAATCTTAAGATCTACAAAGCTTAGTAGGACTATGAATAAAAGATTAAAGTTTTTAGAAGCTCCAAATATAAATCATTTAAAATTATAGTAAAGAAAAAAAGATTTTCTTTTAAACTAAATTAAGAAATATTAATTATGAATGCTTGATTACATTGAAAGTAATAATTATACTTAGGATTTTTTTAAGTTTTTTGAATAAAGAGTGCCTAAGTGATTTTATTATACTATAATCTACTTTTTCTAGTGTTGGAATATATTATGGTCTGATTTTTTTTTTACTAATTTTTTTTCCCTTTGTAAAATAGTAATGAATAGCTATGTGTCTTGTTTGTGGATTTATTCTTGGATTTGTTGCTATTCTAAAACTTCCTACATTATCATAATGGATTACCATTAGTTATTTGATGTTAAGTTATAGATTATAAAGTAAAATTGTGTTACACAAGGCTTCTTGTGATACATTTGTTTACAATCTATATTTGCTTTTAGTGATGATAAAGCTATTGTAGATTATTTTTTGGATAGCCTTAAGATAGGAATTGTTCCAATATTAAAAACCAATGTAGTAGTAGATTGAATTTGATTTGTATCTCCCATCTAATCTAAATCCATGTATCTTGAGAGTTTTGATAGACTATTATTTTGATATGAAATTCCATAGTCTTGCGTATCCTTGATGTAGCGCAAAATCTGTTTAACTATAAGTAAGTGAGATTGGTGAGGTTTTGCCATGAAGCCACCAAAAATTCCTATGAAAAATTGAATATTGGAGCAGATGTTTATAAAATAGAGACATTTTCCAACAATGTTGTGATATTGTATTGGATCCACATCTTTTTCTCTCATATCAATATTGAGCTAATTCTTTTTATCCATTAGAGTTGTTGCCAGTACACAACTTTATACTTAAAAAAATTTAAGAATATTTTGAAAATATGCTTGTTGTATCATAAAAATTTCTTCCTAAACTTGTATGTATTTTACTTTCAAATATAGTATAACTTCTTCTTTTGATAAATTGAACATTTCAAATCTGTTATATAATTACTTCTTGAAATTGATCATATGTTTTTGTACAATTTTTAATCATAAAAAGATCATTTATATTTAAAGAGATGAAAATTATTATGCCTTATGATAATCTAGAATATAGGTTGTGATTACTTATACCTTATTAAAATCCTATGCCTTTTAAGTATGAGTCTATTTTTTTATACTAAACATGTGGTACTTGTCTTAATTCATGTGGAATCTTCCATAATCTACAAATTAGTTTTTTTTTTTTTTTTTTTTTTTTTTTTTGATATGTCAAAACCTTAAGGTTGAATGATATATATTTCTTCCTTTAATTTTTTATTTAAGAAAATTTTTACGTCTATATAACATAGTTTCCAATTCATTTGAGCATCAATTAAAACCATTCCTCAAATTATTATCTATTTTATAATTGGTACAAATGTTTCTTCACAATATACCCCTTCTTACTATTTAAAATTCTAAGCTATTAACTAGGCTTTAAATTTTTGTAGAAATCCATCAATATTTAGTTTTGCTTTATAAATTCATTTATTTGAGATAATAAACTTATAAAAAGGTAACTTTGTAAAAAATCATGTTTCATTTTTATGTATAGATTATATTTCTTTTGTCATTGGATACATCCATCTTTAGTAAGAAGTAGCTCCTTGAAACAATGTAGACTAAAAATTTGGCAGAGTCATAAATCCCACAAAGTAGTTTCTCAACCATCCAAGGTAGCACATTTGGTAGCTTGCCTTGGTTGTAGTTGGCACATTCTATGTAAAACTAGCCAATCACATTGATGTAGATTCCAATGATGGTACTAGTAAGTTTGATATTATAATGGATGTGAGATTGTTACAAGCCATGGCAATGGATTATTTATTAAAGTTGTTATAAGATGTATAACTAAATGGAATTAGAATTGAGATCTGAATTGGCTTTAATCTTAGATATTTGGTAGAATCATTATTTTTGGTTTTTGTTGGTTGTATTGTCAAGTCAATTGGCTTTTGTATAGAAAAAAGATCAATAACATGGAAGTGGTGCATTGGCGGTAGAGATCTTAAACTAGATGGTGTCTTGTCTTATCGTGAATTATTAACAAAAAAAGACCATGCTCGATTTGGTACAAAGTTAAAGGATGTTGTTTCAATAATATTTGAAGGTTATAAAAAAGAATAAATATATATTAATAATAGTAAATCAATAGCTATATTTATACTACTATATTTAATTTGAGTTTTTATATATGATATGTAGTTTAAAATAGACTTTGTTGCATTTAAGTTATAAAATATTATTTCATCAAATATTATGTTCTAGAATATTATTACTTTTTTAAAATAGAACAAATAAATGTGATACATTTTGATATAGTTATTATAATCTACAAAAGTGCCAACTATCAAATATGGTTGAAATTTATTTCTAATATGATTTCTAATATGAACTTCAAATAAATAACCAAAACTTCTTAGATGGTCAAGATGTGGTTTAAAGTCCAAAAAAGCATCATATGAAAAAATTTGGATTCATATTCTTATATAGGCATTTGATTTAGTAAATATAGAGCAATCTTTGCTACTTCAGGCTATAAAAAAAGTAAGCAATTTTTTTGTCAATAATATACATCAAAATTTTTTAAGGACAATTCTATTCCTCTATTACACCACCCCATTTTGTTGAGATGTGTAAGACTACATGAATTGTCTAATATTGTTATGATTCTGACAAAAAACAGTAAAGGCATTTGAAATAAATTCTCCTCTATTATTCGTTCTTAACTTCTTAATAGACTTTCATGTTTATCTTTCTATCATGGCTTTAAATTCTATGAATTTGCCATGTGTTTTTTTTATCCTTGAGGAAGTAGATCCAAATCTTTCTAGTATAATTGTCTACAAACAAGAGGAAGTATATTGTACCTAACAGTGACATGACTTTCAATGGACCACAAAGATTTGAATGAATTTAGCTTGGTAATTCAATTGACCTTGATGCACCATCTTTAGAAAATGATTCACGAGTCTGTTTGTCTCGAAGGCAACATTGACATACTATTTGTTTTGCTGTGAACTTTGGAGGCTCCCTCCGAGTTCATCATGGTCAACGTGGAAAATCCAGCATGGCCAAGGCGGCAATTCCAAAAAAAAACAAAAATTGACCTCACGTCTTATTACTGAGTTTTATGCTAGGAGCTGTGACTTGTCTTGAGATAAAGGTATACGTTCTGTGTTTAATTTGTACAATCAAGAGTTTTAATCCCAATGATCTATTGTGACCATCTGCAGTAGATTTGATTGCATTAATACTACACTCTTATCTCTTCTAAAAATCAATAATTGATTATTATTTTGCACATATTATCCTACCGATAACAGATTTTGTTTTAAGCTTGGAACAAAGAGAACATTTGTGAGGTTGTTTATTTCTTTATTTGAACCATGTATGTTTACATTACCTTAACCTTGTACAAAATGTGTTTTTCCGTCTGTAGTGGCTGCCAAAATTTGATAGAAAGGTCTTTCTAATGTTGAGAAAACTTCATGATCTCCAGAGAAGTGTTTTAGACCCCACTATCTATAATCCAGTCTTTATCATGAGGCAATGCTAATGATAACATTTTCAACACAAATTGAATGTCATCTAGAGTGAAATATTGCTCACCAGTAAATTATTTCATGTAATTGGCCTTGGTTTGGTAGCGGCTTGTGGAAAGCAAATCCAGTGCACGTCAATGCATTGCAATGTAGCCGAGTTTGCCACAGTAATGACAAACTTATTCTTTGTGTGTCTCCATTCTTTGTTGGCCGAAGTTGCGATTTCATTTAAGAATCTTGGGGTTTAAAATAAGGTGGATGATGAGGAGCCCGAAGTTGTGTGTCCAAAGCCCGGGCAATATCAATCGTAAAGGATATCTCTAGTTCTAAACACAAGCGCTTCTTTATGCAAATCAAATCTTAGCTTCATTTTTGTTTCTTCCATGTATAATCTGGTGGCTAGATTTTGCAAGGATTGGAGTGACTCTTTCCTCTCTCAACATTTTGACAAATATTTTAAATTTCATGGAGAGATTTTTGAGAATTTTATGGATTATAACAATATCAGATAAGATACAAACAGATGTAAAAGGTGTCAAAAGATACAAACAGGTTATTGGAGTTATTTAACTATTATCTTCTAAAGCTCAAATAGCTACAAAGAATATCTCTCTTTCGTGGCGAGGCAAATCTTACAACGACATAGACTCCAAAATCAGCCTTAGGATAAGACAACAAGCAGAGCACAGGTAGATTGCATGCTCTATTCTTACAAAGTTCACATGGCGTTGTATTGATGGTTTGGACACACCGATATAATTACACAGGCTACTTGAACAAAGTCTACACTCCACAGCTTCTGAAAGGACAAGGTCAAATTCTAAGATCATGATCTACCCACATGCTCAAGTTCAATCTAAACTTGTGACCTAGAACATAGTTAGCAAACGGACATTCGTTTTATGCAAAGGTACATGAGAATACAATGCGTGAGCTGTGTTCTTGAAAGCCTCAATATCCGTCATCAGATTTTGAGGTAGGATTCACCGGAACGATACTTACTAAGCTCCATTTGCTTGATTGCTACTTGCTCAAATCTTCGATGCTGATTTCGAGCAAAAATTTCAGTGCAAGTGAATGGCTTTCAAATTCGCAAGTTTGCGGCTGCATAGGGCCAAAGCATGAGAAAGATAAGCTTCCACTATGAATCAATGGAATATTCAGTTGAAAAGTTTCCAAAAGTGCTCCAGCATGTTCACAAAGGCAGGTTTAGTAGCCCAAGAAGAATAGAACTAGGCTGAAGGCAACACGGAGTAGAATAATACCACAATAAACGAATTGATTGTAATCTAAGGTGATGCGCCCTTGTTTGGTGGTATCAAACGCAGTGAACAGATTCCTGAAAAATTTCACATCACTTCTATCAGGAAAGCCTGCCACATCTGCACATAACTTGATTCTCGATTTGATTACATCTTCTAGAGCTGGAATCAACGCAAACTCCACGATATGCATGGTTTGTACCTTAAAGAAAAAGCATGGAAACATCAAAGCAGTACCAAAATTCAGAAAACATCTATTGCAATGATCATTTTTCTGAATTCGAAAAGTGATAACTGAAAAGCACGAGCTTAAGAAGACGATTCCAAGCGAAAGGTGCTCACTTGGCCGATTGCAGAAAGATGCATATAGAGATGAAATCATTAATCTGGAACTTCCCTGATCGCTTCGAATCAAAGCTCTGAAAACCCACGCTTCAATGCTCATCACAGCCAGCTCAAAAAACATCATGAATATCTTTTTTTCAATAAGAGAAACTCTACAATGAGAAGAACCGCGAATGTCACACCTGACAAGTCGTAAGGAATGACGGCTGGTCCAGAGAAAATCCTGCCTGATGCAAGGCCTGCACATAATACCATCTACTTTTAAACTAAACTGCTTCATGCCTCTCAGTTTCTAAGAGATTGATAATTTCACGGAGAGTAAAGCGCACAGAGCTTTGGTGCCATGACGAGGAATCGACATACCATATAGACCTCATTCAACGACAGAGATTGTTGATTCCTGCAATCGCAAGCACATTTCCCAACTCCTCAGACAAAAATTCATAAGGATGCTTATCTTAAACCATTTCGATTAACAAGCTTCAGATACATACAAGTTGGCAGATGTTAGCCTAAAATGACGAGCATGTGAAGCAAATTTTGCAGTTGAGTACCTGGCAACATTTGAAAATGCACGATGTGTCTGCAATTCGAAAATAGAAGACCATTACAGAAAACTACTGGAAGTAAGCAGCCTGCTGTATAACTTTTAAAAAATCACAACAAATCCACTTGTAGAAATAACAAGCTTTTAAAAAATTAATCAATAAAATGTAACGTGTCACAGACCAGTCACCGTAAATTGATGAGCAAAAGCACATGAGGAAGCCAGAAATACTCAACGCACCATGTTGAGAAAATTGTGAAGCTTAGTGAACTCTGTATTTCATCCAACACCCCTCACCTATCAGGTTATACACTCCACGACAGATAGGCAATTGAAAGATGCAGAGCTACCCAAATTTAGTTCAGATCATCAACATATGAGTTAGTTGTTGTCTCGTTAACTGTTCAAGACATACAAAGAATGCTAAAACGAAGTCTTACCTTCAAAAGACATGGCACCATTTTGATCCGCATCGTACATTCTGTGCAAAAGATCAGTAAATCATTTATGGGAGGATTTGTAATCACTAATTGCATGCGAATTAACGTTTATCATGCATTACACAGTGCAAAGGCATTTAGTCGCCTTAAAAAATGTATATATATATATATTCGTAAATCGAAGCAGACAATTGGAAAACAACTCCAAACCTTAAAGCCTGGCTTTTAGACACTTGAAAGTGCAGCTACTAATATACAGAGTCATGGTTGGAGGTTTGGCTACCTGATCATCTGCGCCACAATTGTTTTAGGGAACCGTAAATTCGACGCTTCCAAAGCTACCTGCACAAAAACGCAGGTCCACACACGCACAATCTGAGAAGATCTGAAACTGCGAAAGAAATAAGTACCAAAATAAGTTTCGTCCTGATCTGTGAGAAAACACAGAGAACAACGATTCTCTATGTGAATAGAACAGAATTAACAAATGTCGGCAACTCACTCCAACCTCTTGAACCCTCTTCACAGTTCTGAATTGAATCGAAGTTCGGAATCCGGCATCTCAAACCGAACGAGAAGGACGAGATAGCTCACATAGACTATAGTATGACAGGTACAAGATACACGCTCATTCAATTACACACCCACAAGCTTACTTTTCAATCGAGCTACCACAGCATGAATTCCACAAACCTGAAGCTCATCGACGTTGATGGAATTAGAGTTATCCGTATCGACAGACTGGAACCACAACCGCAGCGACTCTATGTCCAATTCCGCAGACTGATGCTCCATCTCTCCACCTCAAAAAAATTTCCCCGCAGCCCTAATCCCAGAAAAAACGATGTCGACCTTTACCGCCAACAGCCTGGCTACCACGATTACTGCTCTTGCTGATCGGATTAGTTGCTTGCGCTATACGATTCACACCAAACTGCGAGCAATTGCCGCTAGAGACAGCTCAAAATCACTCTCTAATTGCTGAATCCGTCGAACAACTTTGTGAAAGACGATCGTTGAAGGCGTGAAGGCCTTCGTCCCGCATTGCTGCTGATTGCAGCAGTGCCTTCGACTCTGATACTCACCGATGGGCGCGTTCACACCGCGGTGTCACCAGTGCTCTGTTCGTTGCCTTTCTTCATCCGGATGGATGGGTGATTCTTGGAGAGACGACGTCTCATCGGTTGCCTTCATTTTTATAGAGCCTTGTGGGCAGAATTAATCTGAATTTATTGTTCCGTCCACTTTGTGAATGGATTGGTCTCGTCAAAAACATTTCACCTGCTAGATTTTCTTAATTTTTGGACATTGTGATGAAAAAAAAAAAATATTAGTTGTTCTTTTAGTTTGGTGTTTTGAGAGTTTCCATATATCTGTATAAATGGCAATTTCACATTATGGACAAAGAATTCTATAAAGTTCTAAATATCGATTTGTTACTTAAATTCAAATATGGATGTGATTGTATTAATATTACATTAATACATGGGTACCTGAGTGTATGCTTTCTTTTGCACTTCATACCAAAAATTTGATTTTTGAACAGAGAAAAGAAAATATTGTGTACATGTTCAAATGGTTACAACAGCTACAACTTCACTCTAAAAGGAAAAGCCTTAGTACCAAGTAAAAAAAAGAGTATTGATGAATCAATGAGTAGGTCATTTAACATATAAGTAAATATAACAAGAAAGAAAACAATTTGAAAATAGCTTAGGTTTGTGGTGAACTGCAAGGGAGATATCACCTAAATGACATTTTACAAAGCAATCAACACGTCAACCCAAGCATAGGAGAAGAAATTTGCAGGAGAAGCCTTCATAAGTAAAATCATCCTAGAATCATGGCTCGAGTTGAGCCCCAAAAAATAATTGCTTTGAATAATTAACATGCCTCATTAGCCATTGATCACAATACCACAGAATCAACACTGGCTATAACAAGATAAAGACGATGTTGCGGCAATTGCTACGATGGAATGTGTCAGTCATGAAAGAGAAGACCTTCTCTACATGTTCGAAAGCCATTTGGCTGCTTCGAAATGCTAATAAAAGCCCACCAATTGGAACTAAAAATTTCAAGAGATTCTTGTCAGCCCATCACGGCTCTCTATAAAACCTTGATTAAGAAGTAACTAAGCACTACCAACCTTGTCCAGAGCTTGTCATCTAAAATAGCCCTAAGGCACTACATACTGATTACATTCTAAGCTGCCAAAACCAGCATCCTCAGAGAAAAATGTTACAAAGAATGATACAGATATTCGTTGGATCATCAAGAGGCGATAAAATAAGACGCCTTACCCTCCGTAAACCTGAACATTGTAACAACAAGCAAGGAGACGGCATGTCCAAAGGCATCATCAGGCAAAGTTTCTGGTTCATTAACATTTTCTTATATAAACATAACCAAAACAAAACAATCGGACCTAACACGAACAAATATCATATAAGATGTTCATGTTGAGCCTAACCTCCACGTAGCCGCAAGCACCCGATAATTAAGTTGAAAACGAAGGTATGCAGGAAGGCATGTGTACTCACCCAAAACGAACCGGACACTAGGCTTCGTCATCGGAACCTGTTTTTTGCCTTTTCCATTTATAAGCAGCTTCCAATATTTTAAGGTTTGGAGCCATGCCAGTCTCCTCAGGAAAGATGTAGTCGGTATACTCCTCGAAACTTCATGTAACAAAACGATGAATGTCAAAGAGTGTGAACCTTTCGAGACTTAAAGAAAACAAACAAAACATAGCAGATACAAACAGAAACATAGCGTATTTGCAAACTAATTGAGGTGGTGCGCATAATAATAGAAAATACAAAATTAACTGAAAATTAAAATATAGAAACAACTAAATGAAATACAGACATAATAAACATCTAACTCAACACCCTAAACCAAATAGATATCGAAGAAAATAATACATACCCAGCAGGTGTTCCATCCTCTGATATTATTGGACGCTTCCGTTTTACTTTCCTTGGCAATTTCCTTTGGACAGCCGCAAGATCTCCAAATTCTCCGAAATTACGCTCTGTTTCCTTCCACTCCTCTAACAACAAGGCTCTTTCTTCTTTCTGTTCAGGTGATACTGTTCGCAGGCTCTCGTACGCCCTTTCAAACACCCCTACAAGACCACAGAATACAATGATAATATTCATCACACTTTAATGGTCTATTGGACAAAACCTACTACTGTATATGATTAACGCATGCAAAAAACAGCAATCTAAAAGTAAACCAAATCCTGAGAAGATCACATTCTGAGACAATGACCCAAGCACCAACTCTAGTCTTCATGCACTAAACGCAAACAGAGTAAGAATATTAACAGAAGTTGCATTACCTCTTGCTCTCTGAGCTCGCTCTTGAGCTTGTCCAGCGGCCTTGGCAATATCAGGTCCCCTGCCTTCTTCTTCCGCACGTGCCTCCTCCTCCAGGGGCACTGCTGCCTCAAACTTGGCATAACTTACCCAAACCTTCAAGTGCTTGGTCCGGTCCAAAAGCCTCTCGTACAGTTTTCGTGTGCGATCATGCTCCCCCTCAGAGATCTCAAACTCAATGTAGCCCTACATTATGAAAGACGGCATGTCAGTGTGGGCTACGTTTCAGAATGCCAGGGTTTTTCCAGCAACAAGTCAAAACTAGCTAAAACTTGTATGCAGTCCCTGTATAGTCATCCAAAAATATTTTGAAATTTACCAGCCGGATGTGCGCGCCTCTATTCTTCCTACGATATGGGAACAAAAATAATTCAAAACGGCGCTATGGGAGCAGGCGAAAGAAGCACAATTTGAAAGTGGTAAACTACCACTAAGCGACTCTTGATCATTTTTAAAAGTATTAAAATAAGAACACTACTCCAGCCAGGAATGTTAAAATCTACTCGGGAGTATTATCTAACTGCATGAAAAGTCTGTTTCCGAGTAATGAAGAAAGATGTGCGACCGATGCAATTACATCCTTAAGTGACAAGGTGGATAATGCAAAACCCCTCCAATACAGGATACTCCACTCACCTTCCACAATAACTCAGGCATGTCAAGGAGCGGTTGTGCAATAGCGATTTCAAAAATTGAACGCCCTCTTTCAGTCTCTCCTAAGGACCTCTCCAATTCAGCATATTTACTCCATGCATAGCAACTAGCAGGTGACCACTCCAGATATTTCTCATACAGAGTTCGACAACGGTTTATGTTGCCGAGCTGCAGTTCGATCTCAATATACGTCTTAAAAATCTGTGTCAGCCCACAATAAATGAGGTCAATGTAAAGGGTGATAATTAAGCTCTCAAAAGAATCATTTGAAGCTCTTCTTATAAACAAACATGTAAACCCATGACCAAGCCACAACAATAGCCGTGCTTATTCAGATGAAACTCATAGCATATCAGACACCACGAAATCTAGAACCTACCGTAAACCTAACACGAAAGAGAAGAGGCAGAGACACAGAAAAGATCAACTTTGGACAAGAACCTTGTCTTTCGGAGCTCTCCCAATAGCATTACCGAGAATATTTCGTGCAGCTTTAAGATCTTTCTGCCGAATCTCAAATTGAGCTGCCATGATCCATATTTTGGCAAAGGTAAACTTTGCGTGCGGAACAATACTCAAGCATGCCCTGCAATGTATTCCGGTCATAGGAAGAGGAGGTGAGACCTTGTATAAACGGAAACATTCAAGGTATGTGGAACAAGACATCGAAAAAGACCCACTTGCCCATCCAAGCAAGTTCAACAAAAGACAGCAGCCGATATGTTTAAAGTACAACTAAATAGACGAGCCGGAACATACTTGAAGACATCTCTAGTCCTGCCGTAGTCTTCAGCCTCCAGTTCCTCGTAAAGGGCATAGTTAATCCTGAAACAAACACAACAATCACAAAAAAAGATATAAATATCGGAGCCAACTCAAGCTTGCAAACGTGAGAACAAAAGTACAAGTGGAAGTGGAAATACATAGAAAACCCAATATCCCGGAGGATAATGATGTTTAACAATGCTACCAGGTGGTAAATGAAACTTTGAGACTAGAAATACCATAAATAAATGTAACGTTGCCAGTATCGCTTTTCCTGTGCAGGAGGCAGATTGGAGATCGATCTCTCGTAGACCTCTCGAACCTTTTCCTTGTCCCCGACACTTTCCTCCAAACGAACATAGTCGAACCACGAAACATAGTTCAAAGGATTCTTCTTCACCTCATCTTCATATTGAAAACGCCTTTTTCCCACAATAACATTCTCAATACCCTCCCTATCACCATATTGCTTCTCGAATTGGACAAACTTCTGATAAACAGTGTCAGCCTTGCCTTTCGGAGTATGATCTAAGGCATACTTGTAAATAACTCTTGCCCGATTCAGCTCTTTGCATCTCTCTTCGAACTGAGCAAAAGCAACAAAAAGTTCCTCAGTCTGCCCATCTTCACCCAACTGCTCCATGGAACGTTCGTAGCACTGTCTTCCTCTAGCAATCTCTCCATTCTTCACCTCAAATTTTGCATACCGAATCCACGCTTTATCACCAGGGTGGCATTCCACATACCTGTATCAATATGTATTGTGAAATTGTTTGATCAATGTAAGTGAAGCAAGTCAAGTTGACAAAAAATTGTAAATTCGCTTCGCTATGCTTGTGTCGAATACAAAAATCACACAAACATTGACTACAAGCAATCATTATAATTGACTTCAACTACTAAGATTTAAAAAAGTTCGGCAATAGTGCACGAGTTCATTCAGTGCACACCTGTCGTAAATCGACCTCGCCCTGTCGGTTTCATTATATCTCAACTCAAACTTAATGTAGGCAGCCCAGCCATGATGATCGGGCTCCCAGGTCATCCACCTCTCAAATACTTGCCGAGCTCCAGCTATATTTCCTAACATCTCCTCCATGTGAATATACTTGTACCAAAGCTGTTCGATTCGAGGAAGTAAAGACACCGCCCGGTCCCACACATTTCTGGCATGATTGACGAATTTGTTTTTCATTTCCATCTCCGTGTACTTGAGCCATAGTGTAGCATTGGTATAATCTACCTCTAAGGCGCGCTCCCAGATTGACCTTGCGCGAGGAAAGTCTTTCTGAATCTCCTCCCACTGCGCATACTTCACCCAAACGCTGGTGTTCCATCTCACTCTCCGAATCAGGTCTTCGTATTCTTTCCGTTTCCGCAATCGGTGCTCCGCGAGCTCTTCCGCGTCGATGATCTTCTGCTTCGGGGGTCGGATTTCAGCTTCCTGTCTCTCTCTGGCCTCACGCAGAATCTGCTCCGCGGTAATTTGGACGGGCGCGGGGGTTTTATTCTTCACCCGGGTGGGGCGAGGCAACTTCACCTCCGTCTCCTTCCTAGTGAGGAAGCCCAACGCCGGGTCGGCCTCCTTATTGCTAAGAGGCTCATTGTACTGCGCGAGCTCCATGTAAATGGACACAAAAAAAACCTTAATTCCACTCCAAACAAAGACTGCAGTTCCTCCCTGCTCACGAAATGAGCAAAGCCCTAAAAAATAAAAATAAAAATAAAAACCCTAAAAAGCTAACCGAGTGGGAGAAGGAGAGGAATCACATGCTGATGTCATAACGATCGATACAGGAAATGGAACCGAAATCAGAGCAACAAAAGGGTTTGGAGAAACTTCTACGAACACGATCTCTCTCTCTTTCATGCTCTCGATCCTCAGAGACAGCGAGCCTCGCACACCAAACTGAACCCAAAACCTCGCGACGACGGACCGACCGGCCGACCGACCCATTTTCCGAAAGACCGCGGAACGCCGACCGAACTTGACCAGTCAGCCGACGTTGGGAGCTTTTCGAATTTTCAAAAGTGAGTTTGAAGGAAATCTAAGAATTTACTGGATTTCGTGGAATCTTTGATATTTCTAAAATTTAAAATCATTGGCCACAAATTTGGCACTCGGCTTGTGGCTCAGAGGGATTTTTTACTTCATATAGTAGTATTAAGGGATTTGATATCCAATTTGAATGATTTAGATGGGATAATTTGATATGGTTTATTGTTTTTCATTATGAATTTTGTGGATAATTATTTTATCAAAATTTTGGGATAAATGTAAAACTTAATCAACTTAGAATCTTGAACGTTATGTGATAAATCTATCGCATTTATTTCATAATATTTGGAGTCTATGTAAGAAGAATGTAATCACCTGATTGTGAGATGTCTAGATATACATTTTATGAAATAATAATAGTTTACGTGAATACTCAAAGATTAACAATGTCTAATTTAGAATTCAAATAAGAAATATTATTACTATAGACAAACTATGTGTCAAGTGGCACATGAAATTAAATCATGCCCAAGTACACAAAATTCACGAGCTTCAACCACAGAGAATCTTTTGTTTGCAAATATATATATATATATATATATATATCTAATTTTTTTGTATACATTCATGTAGACATGTGAAAGACATATGATATTCATTATAGGGCCTTACTCTTTGATACTTTCTGTACTTAAATCATTTCATGTATGTAAAATATGAATGTTTATAATTAACTAAATATCAACTGAGTTATCGAGAATCAGGTATGAACGTTAAATATGCAAACATTCATAAATTTATTTTTGTAATATTTGTTTTTAAATTCCATTCGAAATATTTAAGTCTAATAGTCTATAATTAATTATTAACTATAAAATGTAGTGTTACAATTATTCTGAAATAAAACAATTGACATAAAACAAAAAATTATAAAGGATGTTCTAGTGGCTTTGCTTATTGAGTTATTGAAAACATGTCTGATTTTTGTTTAGTAATATTTTTATACTTAATTAATTTGATCATATCATAAAAAATCGATTTTGTTCATCTATTTTTTAAATGTATTCTTAATGGTATTTTGCCTTTGTAGCAATATGCACAAAACAATTTGTAAGAAGAAACCATTACTGAAATAATGATACTAAGAGCCCTAATTGTGAGAAGTAAATAATGAACACATCTGACAAGTTTTTTGCATGGAAGAATTTGTGGGTTTGATTTAATGGGGATTCTTTACAACAACAAAATTGATGGACTTGACAATATATTGAATGAAGTTATAAACATCTCAAGGGCCAAAACCTTCTAAGCTTGGAACTCTTGAACACAAAACTTCTCACAATTAGGGCTCAAGTAACTTTTATTTACACTTATTTTTTTGTATTGTTATTATTATTATTATTATTTCATCTTCTCCTTGGACTTGCAAGATCATATAGTATACAAATTATTTTAGTTAATGTCAACACCTCCTGTAACTATTTTTCTCTGTTTGTGTAATATTTCAGGATCTGAACCAATATGTGGTTTACCCTTTTGATTGTTTGGTGTAATTCTATAACTGTTAGATACTAATCCCAACCTGATTTTCTAATATAAAATTTTAAAATAATAATATAACCATGATTGTTTCTCAGTATTCAGAAGAATTAACTCAAACATGTTTCAATAGTATATACTTGTTGACTCAAAAAGATTCAACAATGGAGTGTTGATTCAATTTTTAATTATAAACCCACAACAACTAAAATTCAAAACCATTGAGTCACTCACATACATGTAAATAGAAAAAACAAAAAACCTAGTAAACAAGGAAAAAAATAGCAAATCTACTTAAAATGCAAAAATTGCTCACCAATAAAAACCCATCTCTTGTAATTCAATGTTAACCGAAAATATACGTAAAAATAAAAATTTAGGGCTATTTAGGGACAGTTTTCATCCAATATTTCATCGAACATCCAAAAACTGTAGGCTGGCAGTACTCCACCTCCGAATAGTAAGAACCACTTTAATGAACGAAAAACAATACAACTTCATTCATCCTATCGTTCAATTACTGACATATGTTCATCCATATACGAGCGTTCGTCAAGCCTTTTTCCTCCAACGGATGAACTGTACGACACTGGAAAGTCACACGAACTGACGACGTGTTCACATTAGGCGCCAATGGAACCCGGGTATCACCTAAGTATTAGCCCAGTATCAAAGGATGAAATGCCGGCACCGTCGGTGAGTGTTGTTGTTGTTGGTTCTACTTCTTCTATGATGGAGATCGCCTTATTAAAGCAGTTGAAAAAGGCGAAAGGAACGCCGTAGGTTGGCTAGAGCCGAGATTTACTGGAGAAAAGGTGCGGGCCGGGTCCACCACAGTCGGACGGAAATATCATCGGATACGGGGAATCGGGAACCTGGTGCCCATTGGAGGACCCGGGTAACTTTTAAAGTAGATTCCCGAGTGCCTTTTCATCATGTGGCGCTTACGGGCTCCACTCACGGTCTTTATGGCCCCCGTCTGAACACGTCGACTCTCCCGCACGTCCCTGTCCACCGTGGAGGCCCGTTCACACCTCCCACAGGCAATGGTCGGAACCACTCCTCGGCAGCTCATGGCTCACTGCAGACCAGCAGCCACCGATTGTCGTCCGCCACTGAGCTTTACAATCTTTCGCTCCTCTTCGCAATCATGGAACTGTTCGTTGGGGTTTGCGTGAGAGAGAAGGAGAAAACGAGAGAGCGAGAGAGCGAGAGCATTTTGCCTCATCTGCAGTTCAGTGTGTCCTTCAGGGGAATGTCAGACCTTGTGCAGAACCTGGCTGCGGTGCGGTAATTGATAGTGCCCTCGCATTGTGTTGAGAGTGCGGTTGGGATTTTTCTTGCTGCTTGGACTGTGAGAGAGAGAGGCCTGCGGGACCAGGGTTTGTAAGGGACCAGAGGAGCCGTCTGTAGGACTTGAGCCGGCGTGGGAGTGTAACCTGCGTGGCGTGACTAAGGAGTTGAGGCTGACGAGAGAGTGTTACGAATCGGGTAATTATTCCCTGTAGGTCTGGGCTGAGTTCGCTTTGGATCAGTTTCGGCTCCTGCGATTGTATTTATCAGGTTTGGAAAGACAGAATGTCATCTGAGATGTTGCCTCGTCAAGCGCATGGAAGCTGTTGTTGATGTAAGTTTGCTCAACCAACGCTGTCAACCTGGTCTGACTTCCTTCTGAGTTTGTATAGATTGTGCGATAAATCCCCTCGTGTTGATCGCTCTCAGATACAACGGTCCCAGTTTGTAATTCCAGTTGTGGATTCCGTCCTACCACTGTACTCGGGCGCACTAGTTACATTCGCTCCATTCATTTCATGCATTTAGGAGTTTAAGTTTAGTTCGGGGTGTAGTAATTGACTCATTTCACTTTTTCTTAACGAAGATGGTGTGCCTCAAACATTTTTGTTTCTGGAACAAAGTACTAGTGTCGAAACATAATTCTAGTGAGTTCTTCGACTGTCACCCTTACCTTCGGTTATCACTTTACTTCGTTTAAGAACATAGTGAGATTGCGTGTTGATAAGAGTAGTATGGCAGTTTGTCCAGTGTCTTGAAGTGTTTGTCAGTAGTCAACTGAACGGCCTACTCGGAGGTAGTCCAGTTAGAAAGTGGTTCTAGATTCAGGGACATGAGAATCCACTCCAGCACATTTTTGAGTACAAGTTCCAATGTTCTCGCTATGTCCCATAGAATCGAGCCGAAACGTTAACCCGTGCTCCCTTCCTTCTGAAAGGACAACGAATAGAAATATCCATACAGTTAGAATGTAGTAAACTCACCTGAATGATATAGTGCCTACATCGAAGCTACTTACAATGATGACAGTCAGTCTCTATTTTCTACTGGGTGCTTGACTAAGCCTTACCTTTTTTTTCTTACACAAGGTTTCAACTCGATTAAGTAAACCGCGAGCGCATCTCAGGCGTGTTCGAGCATTTCCAGAATTCCTGGAGGTTACACTTTCTCGAATCGTCTGCGATGGCCGTAAGTAACCAGACTAAGAAAAACTCCAGCACGAGCCGAGTATTCTTTCCGGCAGAGATGTTGGAACGATGTGCGGACGTCAGCAGGAGTTCCCAGTCTCCAGCTTCTTCAAATTATAGGAAACGAAGCGTCTCCGTTGGAGATGAACAGAAGGGCAAAAGTAGAAGAGTCTCCTTAGATGTGTCAACATGGAGCTTGCCTTCATCTCCATCTGAGACGGTCTCTGACAGAGTGATGAAAACGCCTTCGGGTTCTGCCCATGGAGGGGTGCGCTCCTGCGTCTACCCTGAGTCTCTAAATGTGTCCTACGAACCGAGCCCGGTGCTGGAGAATTCTGGCTTTTCCTGCTACGAATCAAGTCTCACCGGACTTGGATGTCCAGGCCAATATGATGTCCTAGTCCAGAATAGTGTGGAGACCAACTCTCCAGTGCCACTGCTCGCACCTCTACCGACGAAACAGAACAGATTCAACCTTTCGAGGTACCAGTTGGATGACGACGAAGATCTCTTCGCCACGATCTCCGAACCTGCAGCAGCTCAAGACGAGGCCAAACCCAATAAATTCAAAACCCAGAGAGAGCGACTGATGGTGGCGATGTCTCCAGAGAGTGAAGAGTCTGATAGCACTGCTCCTGATTGCGACGTTACGAATCTCCCACATGGGGGTGATGAGTCATCGCAGGACAGTTACATGTCCCAGAGAGAAAGGCTGAGACGCTTCAGCAATGAGCAATGTCGTAATGTGGTAATTCCCAATCAATGGGAGGGTGAGACGAAGTTGCAGGAGTTTGTGGCGTTCGGAAACATCGAGGCCGCGCTGCGACCCTTGGGATTGATGATGGCACGCGCGGCGCTGGTATCAGACTCCGTTAACACCAGGCACCACCGCCCGACCTCATGAGAGGCCAACATACACTACCCTTAGCAACCCAGTGACTTTATTAGACTCCATTTTGAGTGTAGAGCGTCGGCAGACAAAAAGAAAAATAACGTTTTTGCTTAGTGTACATTGTTGTACCCGTCATTGATTCTCGTGCGCACAACTCCAAATAGAGAGCGCACAAAGAGTCTGGGATGATTACATTCTCTGTATCATATTACATTTTGAGGAAAATTCATTCTGCATTTTTGACGATTCTAAGTCTGACGCCGCTCATTACCACATGCTTCTTGTGCTTCAGTTTTTCAGCATGTTAGCGGCAATTGCTTGGGCAATTGCAACACGAAACTCCACTACTATGTAACCATGACCCATCTGTTTGACAGTGAACACCGTTTTCTTGCTATCATTTTGCATACATGCTGTTGCTGCTGTCCAATTTTCCTCTTTCCTTTGATTTCTGCTCTAACCTGTCGGTTTGTAGATGTTCTACTTTGTGTGCCATTATACGTCGTACACCATTCTTGTGTTCCACTCTTGCTGTCATAAGCTCTTTTGATGCCTCTATGCATTAGCAGTCTGTGCATAGTGTTTGCATAGTCCTTGAACTGTTGTGGTGGAACTTGTTGCATCTTCTCATTGTCATTTCGACCACTGTCTATAAGACCAATTGTCAGCACTTGCCATGGCATAATTGTTGTTACTCCATTTTATTGTTGCCTTTCATCCTTGCATTCCATAAGGAGATGTGGTCTGGCCATCTGTTTAACTTGTATTTTGTTGTGATTTTGTGATTGATTTTGATCGAAGTAGTGATGTGAATAAAGATGATTTTTTTATTTTTATTTTTATTTTTTTTGAGGCTTAGTGCTACGAGTACAAATTGGGGTTGTGAGATACATCACTACTCCAAAAGAAACACAAGTTATCACAAAAATAAATTAATCTTTTTGTTAATCTAAGCATTACATGCATTTTGAGCAATTTTCCATTTGAAGAAGAAAATGCCAAAGATATTTTAATTTGATGGAGAAACATACTTGTTGAATGGTTTATTTGCATAAATCATGCAAATCGTACTTTTTGGGGTTGTGGTAAAATGTCTTCAACTTTTTGTTGGATATTGAAGTGTGACTTCTAAAAAGTACAAGTTAAAAAATATATTCTAATGTGCAACAATTATAAACTGTTATTTATAATTAATCTCAAGAAGGTGTTCTAAATTCTTCTTTATTGTTTATTCTTCAAAGGCAAGTTAACAACTCAAGAGGAATCTATGCTTGATTTTTATTTTATTGTGTGTGTGTGTGTATGTTTTTTTAAGGTTTTATTGATTCTATTGTTGTATACTTGTGTAAATACATTCTGAAGAGTCAAGGATCTTTTTAATGTTGTAATGTAAATAACTTAGTTATGCCAAAAAAAACGATTTTTTTTTAGTTTAAAATGATGAAGAAATTATTTAAAAGAAAAATTAAAAATACTTTTAGGCCTTTAGATGCTATATAAATTGCTATATAAACTTATAGAAAGAGTTTTGTTGCTACTACAATAATGTCAAAAGATGATTGAATGAACTAGTTTAAAATCAATAGTCTAATAAGATTTTAAATTTTATTTTAGAATTTATAGTATAAAAGATTTTTTAAATATTAGTTATTTCCAATATATTAGGATATTCATTTTATAAGGTAGGGAATTAAAAGTGGTGTAAAAAATAGAAGTCAATCAAGTTAGTTGCATTTGAATATTTTTAAATAAGAAAAAGATAGTGCTTTTTATTAAGTCTTTAGTTTTAAAGGAAAATAAAAGTTCTTCTTTAGAATAAAATATACATATAAAATTCCATGTTGAGTGTGTTTATATGCATGAGGTATGTATGTTGCAACAAAATTGGTAAAAAGTAGCAACAAAAAAATAATTATGTGGATTACAATTGAACATGATAAAGTATGTAGAGAGTAAAAAGATATGAATTATATAATTGAATAAAGATTTTATGATAAAGTATGTAGAAAGTGAAAAGACATGAATTATATAATTGAATAAAGATTTTATGAATGTATACTAGAAAAAATCATATGAAGATAATAATCACTTTTGCAATAAAATATTGATTGATAAGTAAGGAGTTAAAAAAACTATGGTGCAATAATTGAGTACAACCAAAGAGAGTGTGAATCTTTTTTTTTATGGCAACAAAATAAGAAATCTAATAAGAGACAAAAAAATAAGGCAATAATTTAAATTAAATTAATGGATTAGAATGATACTTAAAATAAATTCACAAATTTACAATAGCATCATCAAATAGGATGAATTCGGTAAAGAAAAATAATGCATCAAATAAATGAGATGAATATAGATATAAAAATTTATGAAGCAAGAAAAAAAAATTAATTAATAGCCAAAGACAAAAAGTATCATTGTGAAATAAAATGAAATTCTAGCAAAGATATTAACTATTGTATGATAACAAAAGAATAATAACAGAAGAGAGATCAAATAGATAATAATAACTATTAAGAGCATTAAATGTAGCTGATGCTCTTCACAATATTTATTGTAATCTACAATCAATACTATAGCTATAGTATTTGGAATGTAATAGAAAAAAATTATTTATCCTCTCCCCTTCTCTTTTTGTATATGAGACACAACTAGATTAATAGATTTTATGTGAAGCTCTATCTTTCCTTAAAAACTCTCTTATATGTGTATTACTTATTACTACTCTTGTCTCTTTCTAAACATTCTCAATACGTTATCAATATGATTTGCTCCTATATACTATTGTAATTTTTTGTTCTAGTCTTGCTGCTTCAAACATGTTGCTACTCCTACTCTCTGTGTGATTTTTACTACTTTGGTATGTGACTCATGATCTTGCTACACTTCTTGCTAGCCCCTCACACCTTAGCTACTTAGTAGATTGCCTTGCCTTACCTACTTGCTTAGAGTAATTGTTCCGGCCGTATCAACTATTATCATTGCATTCCAACATTTTCAAGCTCTTTTATTTCTACCATTCACTATGGATGGAAACAATTATCTATTATGGCCAAAAATGGAAAAAACAAATTTATTTGCAGAACAACTCTCAAATACCATTATGTTTAAAGAATCTCCTAGAATAAGCACTTCTATTCCTCCTGCTATCTATTGAAAAGTACTTCTTCTCTTTCGTCGTCATCTTGTATCTACATTATAACATCAATATTTGAAAATAGAAGATCTTACAGAACTTTGGAAGAATCTTAAATCTAGGTTTGATCATAAAAGACCATTTTCCTTCCACGTGCATGTCATAATTGGATATATTTATATATCTTGGATTTTCCAAATTTAAATACTTTCAATAGTGAAATATATAGTATTGTCTCATAATTATGATTATATGGACAAAGCATCTCTAAAGATCAAATGATTGAGAAAACTCTCTCTACATTTCTTCTTATATGTGCTATGCTTGTACAACAATATAGGAACATGAAATTTTAGAGTAATTTTGATCTCATGTCCTATCTACTTCTTGCAAAGAAGCAAAATGAACTACTCTTGTACAATGTGGAACCTCATCCTATTGGAACTATGGATAGTTCTAGAATTGCATGCACTTAATATTTCAAAGTCTAAGAAAAAATTATATAAACATGGAAAAGGTGCTCATAAGTAACAGGGCAGTCATAGTCATGATTATTTCTATCCATAAGGAAAGAATAAATATTCTATTATTAATTATAGTAAAAAATAAAAATCAAAGATGTATTCTTACCATAAATATGGAATAATTAGAAATTTAGCACAAACAAGCCATACTTCAAAATATTTTATTAAAATATTTCAAAAAAATAAGAAACTATGAATTGAAGCTTATGAAGTTCATACCATGGATGCATATATGGATTCAATTGATATTGATGATTTAGAAGCTTATATAAATGACAAAACTTCTAATAATGAATCAAATGATGCGCCATTGATTTTGTAACACATAATATCCTGCGGGATAGACGATTTTTTATTGAAAAATCTTCAACTTCGCAAACTAAAAATATGATGACTATGGTTGGAAAAAATGCGTTTTGTTTCCAAGAGGGAATAGTGATGGTAAAATTACCTACGAGTTCCATCATAAAATGTAAACATGTAATGTTTGCACCCTCAGTACCTTGGACTCTGATCAACTACCAAGATATATTTATCAATGGTTATCATTTCTTGACCACCAATTTAAATAGAAAAGAGATTTTGGTTCTTGTGAAGAACCATAAAGTTGTTAAAAAAAAATTTGTTACAAAAAATGGTTTATACCATATTGCAATTCGGCCTCCAATTATATTTAATTTTGTGTCATCTATCACAGAGAGTCATGCTTTTCTCTGGCATGGACGATTGGGACATCCAAGATCTACATTATTTAGAAAGATCATTCCATATATAACTGGGCATAATTTAAAGCCTATAAATGTAGACTCTATAAAATTATGTCGTGCATGCGTGCAAGGTAAGATAATTACTCGGCCTTCAATTTGGAAACTCCTACAAGAATTACCACCAATGCTTGAAAATTTGCATGGTGATATTTGTGGTCCTATTAATCCAATATTGGGACCATTTTATTATTTTTTGGTCCTTTTTGATGCATGAAGTAAACAATCTAATGTTTTATTATTATCAATCCGAAATATGGTGTTTTCTAATCTTATATCTATACTTATTTATTTTTGGGCACATTTTCTTGATTATCCTATAAAAATATTGCGTATGGACAATGCAAAAGAATTTGCATCAAAGACTTTTGAAGACTATTTTACTGCAACAAAAATTGAGTTGACATATTGTGTTTCATATGAACATGCTCAAAATGGACTTGCAGAGTTATTTATAAAGCATATACAATTCATTACTTGGCTACTTCTCCTTCACGTAAATTTACCTGCATCTATGTGAGGTCATGCAGTTTTACATGCTATAACATTGATACGCCTCCGCCCTTCTTCTCTTGAAATTGTTTCAGCACATGAGCTCATTTTGAATCATGTTCGAAATGTATCTCACTTACGAGCATTTGGTTGTCGTGTTTGGGTTCCAATATCAGAACTTCAATGGCGTACCATTAAAGCTCATCAACGAAGAGACATACATGTTGGTTTTGATTCACCAAGCATTATTCATATTATTGATTCATCAATTGGCACATTATTACATGACCATTTATAATTTTTTTATTTTCAACAGAATGTATTTCCATCTCTTCA